AGTGGGCAGGGCCAAGAAAGTTAAACATCCAGGAATGTACAGGACAATCTTATACAACAAAGAATTATTTTGTCCACAGTTGTATTTTATTTCAAATGTCCTGTTGGCTTACCTAGATGAAATATCTATTTTAAGTAATCTGAGCTTAGACTATAATTCCATTTTACATTTAAAAATAAAGCACTATTTTTTATGATTTGCTATACCCTGAATTTTTTTTTTTTTTTTTTGCTTTGGAAATTTGCCATGCTGTTGTTTACCATTTGAAACTACCATTAATAGTGAAACAGGTGATAGTTTTTGTCACCAATACAACTATCATATAATCAAAGTATATTTGCAACATACTTACAATCTGCATATACAATCCTGTATTGATATACATTTACAACGTCAAACAGTTTATTTCCAACATCATGTTGCTTTCAAGTTGATTCTATGTTTATGAGCAAGTATCTCCATAATTCACTATGTCTTTAAGTATAGTTGTGCCTGAGTATTTGCATATTAAAATGCTATTATTCACTTTAACTTATTTTAATTTGTTCTTTTATAGTTTTTCCAGATATGTATACAAGGTTATTATATTACTTATGAATATTTTTAAGAGAGAGTAAATGTTATGTGACAAAATAGTTGCTGTAAAAAGAGGGTGTTGCATTTGACTGCATTGAGAAATATTGTCATATAGGAATTTTACACATGTGCACAAGGAATCATAATCATGAATGTTCGTTCTAGTGTGACTAAAATTTGGAAATATAATAATTCTTAATAGGAAAACAGATATTTTGTGGTCTTTTAGTATCAGATACACTATGCACCTATTAAAATAGTGAATCTAATCTATAAATATCAATATATATAACTCTAAAAACAATATGGAATACAAAATATCATATGCATTGATATTATAGTATGGAATAATTACATGAAGTTTAAAATCTGATTAATCTTTTGACATATTGTTTACAGAATTATACATTTGTAATACATTACAGAAGCATGCAAAAAATTCTAAAATTCCATTCTAAATAATGGCATTTGTTCTTGTAGCAAAGAGGAAGAAGCTTGAGAAGGCTTGCACATAGGTGGCCTAAATTCTACCAGAAATGTTTCTTAAACAATGGGTATAGGTTTTGTATAATTATTTTTAAATTTTAATTCATCTGAATTATTTCATAACCTTAAAGGGAAATTATTTAAGGAACAATTATAATGTTAAGTTTCAATAAGTATTATCATTTGAAAGAGGTACTTTGAATGGATTTATAGAGAATAAAATATAATCAGGTAACTAATCCCATGCCAGAGCTATGTTTTAAGCATCAAAATGAATAGATTCTTTTTCTTTTTTCCAGTACCTTTTTCAAACCATACAATTTCAATGTTTATATTTAGACCATGGTTTTCTTGTACAATGGTTTTCTCTAGTTCTTCTAATTGCCTTTCCTTTTCTTCTCGAAAGAAGGGCAAGTGAAAGAAAACACATTTTCCTCATATTAAGTATTTAGTCACCCTATTTGTTAAATGATTTGGCACGCAATGGATCATTTATAGGACTGCTTCCTAATTGTCACACTCTGAATTCCTTTTATTACATGCTCAGATTTAGGTCCACTATACATAAGATTCCTATATCTCATTCTTTTTTTTTTTCCTGTATTGTTTTCTCAAATTTTGGTGTTGTTTCCTTTGGCATGGAATTCTGGGTTAGAAGTAGTTTTCCACCAAAACTCGAAGCTCGGTACCTTCTAGCATCCAATATTTAAAAGCTGTTTTCAATCTTATTTTTACACTTTGTAATTATTGTATTCTCTGTAGGATTCTATGCTCCTCATTTTTTCCTTGAAATTTTAAGAAGATACATACTTAAAACAATCCTACTTGCTGCTTTTTGATTTTTATTATCTGAAAACTTTTATCTTTGTCCAGCCTTACCAATGTTTTTTATGTAATTACTCCCCCATTCCTTTACTTTCTTTGCTATCTCACTCTCGTTGGCCAGTTGGGGGACACTGACATTCTGAACTGATCTTCCATGAGTCCTGGCCTTTTTGTCTCTTCATCTCTCTCTCTCTCTCTTTTTTTTTTCATCTTATTTCCTGGGTTATTTCCTTGACTATTTCTCTCAATCTTAATTTAAATGTTTATGTTGGCAAACTTTCCTTATACAATACTGTAGTAACAAATAACTCTAGAATCTTAGTGGCCTACCACAACTGTGCTTTGTTTTTGGCCACTGTTACAAGGTGCCTATAGCTCTGCTCTACATGTCTTCTTCCTTTTGGGAGACACAATGAACATAGAGCCAGTATCTAGGACCTGCTCTTTTCGTGGCAGTAACAGTGGTAGATTCATGCAATATCTATTAAAGTTTCTCCTTAAATGTGGTATACGTTAGTTCTGCTTACGTTCTATTGTCCAGAGTAATACACAAAAGTAGGCCAAGCCGGACATTAGTGTGGTGGGCAACAGACCAGAGTACTCTACAGGCCTAGGAGAGAATTACAGAAATACTTTGAGCCTGTAATATGGTGATCACTCATCTTTGTCATCTTTCTTTTCCTCTGATTGCCTCCTATGTATGTTTCCTTGATTTCCCCTTGATTTATCTAAATAAAATATTGCAATATTTTAAAATCTTTCTGAGAACTCTAATCAGATTTTCATTGTTCTTGTTCTTGTTATTTCCATCTTCCAGTAACTTATTTATGTTTATTCTCAGGACAATTTTTCTCTTGTTTACATTAATCATTTATACTTTTGCTGTTGGTTTTTCTCAATTGCCTGGTGAAGTCTGATCATATTTATAAATTATAGACTTGCTTAATTAACTAAAACACTAGGAAATTATTTCCTATAGAATTACCAGATTCATCTTTGAATGAAGAGCTTTTTCTCTGTGTGCATGCTTATCAGACAGGTTATACTTCAGAGCAAAACGCAAGAAATCAGTGTGTGTATCCCTGCCGATAGTTTTTTTTTTTTTTTTGCTTAATTTACTTTTACATAATTTGGATTTCATCTGTAAGTTAACATAAATGGTATCTTATATATTCATGCTTTTGCTATATGCTTTCTCCACTTAATAACATAATCTTGGGACAACTTCTCATATTAATGCATATAGGACAACCTCACTTCTAAACTGCTGAATAGTGATAATTTACTTATACATTTCCGTATTGATAGACATTTTGGTTATTTTATATTATTTATTTGCATTGCTATTATAAATGATGCTCAATAAACATTCTTGTATAGCCTGTTTTTTTAAAAAAATGCAAGAAATCAGAGATGATGGGCTTTCAGCCCCAAATGTCAAGCTTGAATGGGACATCAGCCTGGCTCTGGGAGCTCCAGCTTCTACCCCCTCACTCCTGCTAGTTGGCTTCCTTTCTTCAGAAGTTATTTTCTGATTTTAACTGGAGTGCCAATAGTGGAAGTACAATACTGGGAATAGTAAATGTTTGTGTTGGGGGTCAGTGAAGAATAAATTCTGCATTGATTCTATAACCAGCTCACCAGTCAGATTACTTTGGCTGCCTATCCTCTGATACTCCAGGAAGTCTCCTCCACTGCTTCAGATTTTTTTATTTACATGCACGATCCATCCCCCTAATCTGGGAGTCAACAATGAATTTTGTTCCAGCAATTGTTTTTTCCATGTGAAGTTCATAATATTTGATTTGCTGAAGTATCTTTTATCATTTTCAAGGTCTTAGTGAATTTATTCCTTTTTAAAGACATCTCCCTCTTTTGATATCAATGATTTTTTTAGCAAGAAAGAAAAGGAAGCATGAGGGCTATGTATCGTCTTGAACTATAACTGGTTATGTATACTTTCAATTGTTGAGAACAACTAATTTCCCCTCCAAATAACTGTCTTAATTTATTCTCTCAAGATTAATGTATAAAAACAATAATTTGGGGGTGCCTGGATGGCTCAGTCAGTTAAGCGTCTGACTCTTGATTTCAGCTCGGGTCTTGATCTTGGGGTCGTGAGTTCAGGCTCTGCACTCACAATAATTTTAAAAAACAATAATTTTCACGTACTTGCTAACAGAAGATATTGCAGTATTTTTTAATTATTACAAATGTACTATAAGTAAGATGTTGTCTTATTATGGCTTTAACTTGAATTTTCTTGTTAGTAGTGAATCCAAATGTGTTCATGTATGTTAATTTGGCTATCTGTATTTTTCTTCTAATTATCTACTCATTTCCCCTGCCAAAGTGTCTTATATTGAATTTTATTACTGACTTTAGAATAATTTTTCTTATTTGTTATCTTTTAATTTTTTATTGTATCTTTGACATATATAGATTGATTTTTTATATGATTTGAGTTCATCTTTTCATTTTAATTTTTGATTTCATATATTTTTAGAACATTTCATCTAACTCCATATTATTACTTTTTTTTTTTAAAGATTTTAGTTATTTATTTGAGACAGAGAGAATGAGAGAGACCACATGAGAGGGGGGAGGGTCAGAGGGAGAAGCAGACTCCCCGCCAAGCAGGGAGCCCGATGTGGGACTCGATCCAGGGACTCCAGGATCATGACCTGAGCCGAAGGCAGTCGCTTAACCAACTAAGCCACCCAGGCGCCCCCATATTATTACTTTTTAATTATATTTTATACTGTATTTTCTTCCTTTGATGACTTTTTGTACCTTTACAATTTTTTGTTTTCTTTTTTCATCCTTAACTAACTGAAATATATTTTTGTGTGATACTAATTAGAGATTTATATATATAACATTTTTCCTAAGGACAGGGTTTGAGTAGCCCATCATTTCTTTGTTATTTGAAATACAATATTTCTCCTGTACTAAATCTGTGTGTGTGTGTGTACACACATGCGCATATACATATATACCTCATAAGTTTAATATGGTTACCTTATTCTATTACATTTTTTCTGTATTTATATTCTAGCAGCAATATCATACGGTTTTTTTTTTTTTTAAGATTTTATTTATTTATTTGACAGAGAAAGACACAGCGAGAGAGGGAACACAAACGGGGAGTGGGAGAGGGAGAAGCAGACTCCCCGCCGAGCAGGGAGCCCGATGCGGGACTCGATCCAGGGACTCCAGGATCATGACCTGAGCCGAAGGCAGTCGCTTAACCAACTGAGCCACCCAGGTGCCCGTCATACGGTTTTATTTAGCATTGCTATTAGAACATTTTGATAACTGATAAATAAAAGTGCTTTTCCTTTATTTGGTTTAGCATTTTGCGGGCTCTTTCCTTTTGAAGACTTATACCTTTCATTAGCCTTGATAACTTGGTAAATTAGGAACCACTAGGTTGTATTTTTTTTTTTAATGTGTCTTTATTCCTCTTTGTACATACTCCCTTCCAGATAAAGAGAAGTATATTTCAAATGACTTATTTGAAATAAATGAAATTTTTCCAAAATGTGAAAAATAAATAGACTTATTACATTAAATACTTCAGCATTAATTTGGCATATATTTCCATTATTCCCCTTTCTAATATGTTCTTTATTATGAATTATTACTCATTCTGGGCTTGGACATTTCAAAAAAGATTTATTACTTGGTCTTTTATAGGCTCTTTTTGCCTTTGTAATCATCCTCCTATGTACCTCCTCCTACAGTCTTTTTTTAATAAAGATTTTATTTGTTTATTTGAGAGAGAGAGAGAGAGCATGAGAGGGGGGAGGGTCAGAGGGAGAAGCAGGCTCCCTGCTGAGCAGGGAGCCCGATGCGGGACTTGATCCTGGGACTCCAGGATCATGACCTGAGCCAAAGGCAGTCGCTTAACCAACTGAGCCATCCAGGTGGCCCCTCCAACTACAGTCTTTTATCTATTTTTTTCTTTTTGCATTTTTCTATTAGTACTGATGAATAAGAAAATTAGTGGGTTTATAAGTTGAAATATCTTATAAGACCGAATAATTTTTCACCTAGTATCTTGTGTTTTTATGTAGACTGTTGTATACATTATGAATTATAATGATTATTTATTCCTTTCCAATATTTAAAAGACTTAATTTTTTTATCCCATTTTATGGTATTAAAAAGTACTTACAACTTAGAACATTCACAGTGATGACAAAGAGATTCTGCAGATTCAGGGAAAATATATACAAAAGACATGTCTGATAAGAGAATATTATCCATGGTGCCTGGGTGGCTCAGTTGGTTAAGTGGCTGCCTTTGGCTCAGGTCATGATCCCAGGGTCCTGGGATCGAGCCCTGAGTCAGGATCCCTGTTCAGTGGGGAGTCTGCTTCTCCCTCTGCTTCTGCCCCTCCACCCCCATTTGCTTATGCTCTCTCTCTCTCTATCTCTATCTCTCTCAAATAAATAAATAAAATCTTAAAAAAATGACTATTATCCAAGATATACAAAAATGCTAAAACAACAATAAGAAAATGAATAACTGGATTAAAAATGGCTCAAGGGTTAATCATTATGTTGCATCTGATAATAATGTAACATTGTCAACTATATGCAAATTAAAAAAATTATTTTAAAACAAATGGGCCAAAGACCTTAATAGCCACTTCACCAGAGAAGATATACAGATGGCAAATAAGCATATGCAAACATGCTCAACATCATATATTATTAGGAATACAAATTAAAACAACAATGATGCAAACAATGAATCATGGAACACTACATCAAAAACTAATGATGTAATGTATGATGATTAACATAACATAATAAAATAAAATTAAAAAAATAAAACAACAATGAGATATCACTACAAATGTGTTAAAATTATCAAAATCTGGAACACTGATATACCAAATGCCAGTGAGGTTATGGAACAACAGGAATTCTCATTTTATAGCTAGTGGGAATAAAAAATGTTGCACCCACATTCAAAGACAATTGGGAAGTTTCTTATAAAAGTAAATATACTCTTAACATATGACCGAGCAATTGTGTTTATTCACCCAAAGGAGTTGAAAACTCATGTCCACACAAAAATCTGCACATGGAAATTTATAGCAGCTTTATTCATTATTATCCAAACTTGGAAGCAATCAAGATGTCCTTCAGTAGGAGAATAAGTTATGGTATATTGAGACAGTGAAATATTATTCAGTACTAAAAACAGATGAGTCATCAAGCCATGAAAAGATATGGAAGAAACTTAAAGGCATGTTACCAAGCAAAAGAAACCAATTTGGAAGGGCTATATAGTATATGATTCTAATCATATGACATTCTGGAAAAGACAAAACTATGGAGACAATAAAAAGATCTGTGGTTTCTAGGAGTTACTGCAGAGAGAGGGATGAGTAAGTGGAGCACAGGGGATTTTTAGGGCTGTGAATCTATTCTGTACAATACTGTAATGATGGATACATATCATTATACATTTGTCTAAAGCCATAGAATGTACAATACCAGTAGTGAAACCTAAAAACTATGGACTTTGGTTGATGACAATGTGCCAAAGTAGGTTCATCAACTATAGCAAGTGTACCACTCTGATAAAAGATATTGATGGGAAGAAAAGCTATACACGTGTTGGGGCAGGGAACATATGGGAAATCTATAAACTTTGCTTTGAATCCAAAACTGCTCTGGAAAAAAGTCTCACTTAAAAAAAGCATAAAGTCTTAGTGATGATGGCAAACAAAGAGACATCTTTTTTCTAAACTGTATTTGAAATGTATCTGTGAAAGAATGATGTTTATTATGGCTGTTTTTAGTTTCTAGTAAGTAGTTACATAAAGACTTTTCATAGATTCTGTTATTTTTAATGCTTTTTCATGTCATAAAATTTTGAAAAAGCTCAGAAAAAAGGAAAGGTTTGTTCTATAATTTGACACTTGTGCTTATTTGAAACACCTAGACATCAAGTGTTCCTGGTTAGAAGACTTTTGTACTTATTTGAACTTAGTGGAATCTCTAATAAAAATAGCATGCACTTAACATTGAATATTGCTAAAATCCTTGTTTTGATAGTTTATTAAATAACATGTAATAAGCAGTAATATGTTACGCAAAATTTGGTGAGTCCCATGAAAGTTGAATAACTTAAAGGGAAGAAATATTGCATTTTGTAGTATCATCAAGATTAATAATAATTTGTATTCACAAAACCAAACATTTGTGTAGTTTATTTGGCAGGAGTGGGTTAACTCAGCAGGCTTTGATTACTCATATCCTGCACATTCTAAAGAAAGGTCTGTTTTCTGGACTGTTCCTTAGTCAACTTCTTGGAGATAACCTCTGATCCCTTGGAATATTCTGCCTGATAAGAGAGTTTTTATATGCCTACAGCCTTTGGCTATTTGTATCAGTCTGACCAGAAAAGTTTATTCTACCAATATGATTTATGCTGAATGCCTGCTTTTTTCTCTGAGGTAGGATGCCCGGACTCTGAGTAGCTGAAATCAGTCATGTGGGTGCTGCATTCCTACATGACTGAACCCCAGTAAAACACCTAGACAGCAAGGCTTCCTGGTTAGAAGACTTTTCCATGTGTAATCATACAACATTGCTGGGAGAAATGTATGTCCCTGTGTTTATTCCACTGGGAGAGGACACCTAGAAGATTATGCCTGGCTTTTCTTGGACTTCATACATCTTTTCACTTTGCTGATTTTAATCTGTATCCTTTCACTGCAAATAAGCCATAACCATGGGTATAATAGTTTGTGTCCCATAAGTCCTTCTAGTGAATCATTGAGTCTAAGGGTGGTCTCATGGACCCTTGACATGATTGTACATGAACATTCCCAGGCTTTGTTAAAATGTCAGTCATACTATATTCACATATTCATTTCCAAATGTACTTGTGAAAAATATTGTCATAACAAAACTGTGTGGTCCAAGTGATTGAATGTGGCCTAATAACTTTTGTTGCCTAAATTATAGCTGTTTAAAATTTATCAAATATGATCCAAGCAGAATTAAATAATTGTTATGTAGGAAGTTCTCTTTAAGGTTGCAGTTTAAATGAAAGTTTAGAATGAAAGAATTTGAGAGAACAGTGGAGATTTACTTAAGATTAAGGAACATCATAAAATTATAGTATTTTTTTTCTTTGATAAAACTTGTATCTCCTTTTTTTTGACACTGCCTATAAGAATATGGCAACTATTTTTAAGTTGAAGTTTTTTTCTGGTTTATCATGAATTTTTAATCAGGGATGGTGTTGTTATTTATGTACTACTCAGATTAGCTAAAGAATGTTATTAAATGTTGGATTACCCTTGAACTACTGGGATGATCTTTCCTGATCATAATATGTTGTGCTTTTTATGCACTTAGTTTATGATATTATATTCAGGATTTTTACAAGCAGAATCATAAATAAAAGTAATATTTTTTTTGTAAAATTTTCTTATCAAGCTTATACTTGCCTCATAGAATTTATTAATGCATACATTTATTTATCCTTTATTTATCCAATATTTAATGATTGCCTACAGTGTGCTACTAGAATGGCTTAAATCAAAGAGACAATAACAAGGGCTGACAAAAATGTATAAAAACTGGAACTCTCATGCATTTCTGGTATAAATGTAAACAGGCATTTAAAAAAAAATTGGTAGTTTCTTAAAAAGTTAAAAATGAATTTATCATAAACCCCAGAAATTCCATTTCTAAGTATTTCTTAAGAAAAATTAATAAAAAAGAAATGGAGGGATGCCTGGGTGGCTCAGTCAGGTCAGCGTTTAACTCTTGATTTTGGCTCAGGTCATGATCTCAGGGACTTGAGATTGAGCCCCTCATCAGGCTCCATGCTGGACACATAACATGCACTTAACATTGCTCCATGCTAGGCATGGAGCCTGCTTAAGATTCTCTCTGTCTTCCTCTTCCTCTCCACTTCTCCCACCAGCTCAAGTTCTCTCTCTCTCTCAAAAAAAAAAAAGTGCAAACAATTCAATTATTTATTAACTGGTGAAAGGATAACTGAAGTGTTTATGTCAATACAATAAAATACTATTAAAAAATAACAAGGAAATGAATCACTGTTACATAGAACAACAGTGATGGACCACAAAAATTTTGTTAAGTGAAAGA